TACAGAAAGTACGACTGGTCGTACTTTGTGTAAAACTGAAAAGTTACTTTTTTTTCCCTCTCCCCAGTCACATCACTGACGTGTAAAGTGAAAAAAAAAAAGTAACTTTTCAGAATTATACAGAGTACGACCGGTCGTAGTCTGTGTAAATCACTAAAAGGACACAACTTGTGTCCTTTTGAATGACACACACTAAACCCATAGTTTATATTCCTTCATTTTTTTCCTCTTTACTTCATTAGCTATTACATGTTCGTGTCATCAATTATATTATGCATCTAGCAAGAATTTTTTTGATTTCTTCCATATAATAACATGTAATCAATCGTCAAGAATTAAATAAGAATGACTAGAAGGATGCACATATATATTACTAGAGGTTTCCAACTTTCCCCACACACAAATTAATTAATGAGAAATGGTAAATTGAGCTGAATGTTTCTTTTCCAGCTTCATTGAGTTGTTACACAACACTAAATATACTTAAGAAGACCTCTCTTACTATTTTTTAATTAAATTAAAATCAAATGATATACATGGATATAGAAACTAATTAGCTTTTGTCACTTGGAACTGATTACTAGCTAGTACTTCTAGTTAATGCTTACTTGATGGGACTAATCAAACAAAACATCCTTAAATATTAGACATAGCAACAAAGATAGGGTCTCATGACCATGTTGGGTAGACAAAAGCAGTGCTTCTCTTCGCAGGCTGCAACCCTTACTGAGGCAGACCTAGTTGTCAATCCATCCCCTTGTTTACTATAGGACAAGGGTACTATATCGCTATGCAGTAAAGTGGGATCTCACAAGTCACGTTGTGAAAAAAGTGGACCATGCACGAGCTAGGAGTTCAAGGTTAAATGCAATCCAATACCAGCCAACTATATATGAGCAAGATAGATGATGCCTTGGCTGACAACAACACTAATTAAGACAAACATTTAAATCTTTTCAAAGTAACTGATCCATATATGGTGGAAAATAGAATTAATCTAGGTAGGGTAAATGCTATAATGCCTGTAGTGCTGGGGTGGTTTTAAGAATATTAAGGAAAAAGAAGAGGGAACCATTAATTGGTTCTCACACTTAAGAGTTCTAAGAGAAAAATCTCATTAGGTATAAATTGTATGTCTATATATACCATCCTGATCATAATGCTCTATATATGTTAGTATTGGTGTTAATTACAATATTTCAATCCTAATTATATAGATGTGCAATTTTAAATCCTAAATTAGTTGGTAAGATCCTCTTAATTTAGTGGAAGGTGATTATATAAAAAGAGGGTGAGTTGTAATGTGAATGTTTTATCCCTCTAATGAGAGTGGGAAATGGGATGCATATATGGGCCCAATCTCATCTCCAGATTACGAAATTTTTAACTAAAAAAATTCTATCTGCTATAGAACAAAATGTGATATTTTTTAGATATCAATCGATGTCTGAAACGCTAATAAATTCGACGAATCTGATTTCGGGTTTGAATCTCTCCGTCCTCCCCAAGAGTCACTCTTGGGAATCCATTACTCTTTGGACAAGTCAAATCTTGGGATCTAACTGGACACCACAGGACCAGTCAAAATGTGAATTTGAAAAAGTGATTGATAATATCATATCTAAAATATCTGTTCACCTATTCACATTTGTGTCATTTGTGGTTGACACAAGGAGAAGCAAGTTGATTAACTTGTTCAGAGGAAAATCAAACTAGTATCTTAATCTTACCTGGACCCAAAACGTGAGGAAATTTCCAATAGACCAAGCTATGAAATGATAGCACTAATAATAGACATGTGAAAGACCAGCTCGTTTGAAATGACAAAATCATCGTGACCTCACATATCATCATTTACTACCACATATACCAAGTGTCAACAAAAGAGTAAAGCCTACGCAAGTTCTCTTATCATTCAAACCATCATTTGTTGATAATAGTTTTTGTTTTTTGTATAGAATTGAAAATATTGGATGAAATTATCTTCTTCTTCTTTTTCTTTTATTGGAGTTGAAGGTGCAATCACCTGAATAAGGAGGAGAAAAGAAAAGCTTCGCTGAGTTCAAAACAAATTAGTACAAGCACATTTTCAACACACACACACACACAAAAATTAGTACAAGCACTGAAGCACATATTTATATTCAAGTTAAAAAAACTAAACCATGCACACCAGCTATATTCGTACAATATATAACCCAAAATTTACCTATTTTCCAATCTATAACCATAAATTTTGATTGGGTTGAATGTTGACATAAGTAAAAACTGGACTGGACTTAGATTGATGTTTGAACACCTATGATGGGCTTACACAAATTACGTTAAAAACAAACCCTATATATTGGGCCAGAAAATAAAAGGTGTGTGAATTTTTTCCCATCCCTTAACTTTTTTTAAAAAAAAAAGAAAGAAAGAAAGAATATCATTGTAAAAAGTCTATCTTGAACTGATCATCACATTATTAACATTTGGATGGATTAGAGATTCTATTTCCTAATCTTACAATTGCGCTTAAATCTTGACAAATTTTCTTTGAATTCAATTAAAATTTTCAAATTGTGTAGCATTACTCTTTTTATTATAATCTATATTAAATAGATTAATCTGAAAGTTTAATTTTCGTGTCTTTCCTTTCCTTTTTTGAACAGATATTGATAAAGTAGAGTAATATTCAATAATAATTTTGTATTGTTTTGAGTCTGCTGGCATATTCATCTATGACCCAGATCATGGTAGTTAAAATCTCGATTTATCACTTCGGTTTTATGTTTTTACGATTTTTTTTTATCAAAATAATTTTATCAATATTCCAAACGTTTTTTATGTTTTTATGATATTTTTACATTAAGACTTTATGTTTTACAATTTTTTATCTCCCTTCTAATTTTATGTAAAATCTCAATTCTAACTGTCTTGACCCAAATCCTTCGTAAGGATAACGGGGGTGAGCAAACATGTGATCGGTTACTTGAAAAAATTGGCCCAACTACGATATACGTCCAACCCATGAATGCACCATGACTATGGACCAGAAAAATAAAACATTTGCATGATAAACTCGTGGATATCTCTCTTTGAATGAAATATCGATTTCAGGGACCGTTTTATACGTTTATTAGATGCCTTATAGTTAGAACATATAATTGAGAATCTAGTTTAACTTGGTGATTTGGCTTAACCCAATCTTAACCAATTTATAAAATAAGGGTTAGGTTGAGTAGTAACTTGGTTTAACTCTTTCTTTTATTTTCTTTTTTTTAATCGGTTTAACTCTAATTAAGCCAGCTTCAATTTGGCATTGGATTTTTTTTTTCCAATGTTACAAAAATTGGATCGATTTGGCCGAGTCGACCCAAATACCAATGAACCGGTCATATAACCGATCCAGGTTTTGTATTGGATCGGCCAACATTGAAACCGGTGCGAATCGGTGCAACCTTGTCGATTTTGGTGAAAAATAATGACTTTGTTAGTTCAACCAGTAATCCAACCCGGTTCATAAAAAAATATTCCGAAAAAAATCATAAAGGATATCATTTTTGTTTTCAATTCACAAATGATTTGTTTTCTTTTGAAATATTTGAGTGATTTGTTACTTATTGACTTACATAGGTTATGCACCTATAACACTAATATTATCTTAGTTATGCACAATGAAAGATATTTTGATTTAATTTATAGTTACAGATGTCGTCTGCTGAACAAAAAGCGCCAGTATCATAAGCATTATATGTTTGTTTGATTCTTTGTTGGATAATATGTGATTTATTATTTTCAATATTAGATTATTTGAAATTAGTATTATTTTTTACAGGTATTTGAATATGTTTATAATTTTTTTAATATAAATTATAGATTTACATATACTTATCGGATCATGCGGTTGAAGTATTGACTTAATACCTTGACCGAGTTAACAACCGAGCCGGGTTTAATAACATTGTTTTTTTCAACATCAAACTTAAACACTTGCTAACTCAATCACCTTAATATTATTTTCTACAAATATGTCAATATAAAATAAAATATTTTTCTTTTTAATTAGTTAATATCAATGATGTCATTTTAACAGTATTTAAAAAAAAAACAGTTAACTAAATCACGGGATCCAAATAAATTCAATTATGATTATGTTAAGTTACTTCGGGTTGATAATAAAAATAAATAAATAAAATCTTTAAACTTAACACAATCTATTCGTGATCACCAACTCAATCGCCTTGTTTCACACTTTATGGAGTCGAAGCATTCTCAGTAAATCAGTATACGCACGTGTATCTCTCTATATATAAAGATGTGATAAAATGGTCCAACTCAGTTAACCCGTTTGTGGTAGGTTGAATTGGAATTTTCAACCCGCTTAAACCTACTCGACTTAAGGACGGGTACAAATGAATTCAACCCATGACGTCGGATTGATTTTTTAATTTATTTTAAAAAAAAAAATAAACATAAATTAGTGACTTTTTCTCTCACCTCGTTTGTCTTCATTTAATACCTTTTACATTTATGAAAAATATAATTTTTGTTAGAACTTCACTAATCTAATATATTGGCAGCACAGGTTGGAATGATTTGAAATTTTCAACCCATTTCCAAAAAAGAGAAAAAGACAAGTTATCCGCTTTGACACCTCCATAATGCTTGATGCGAGGTGAATGTGCTAAGGTAAACCAACAATATCAAGTGAACGTTTATAAATTCCCCCAGTCATATAAACTTTACTTAACCCTTTAGCACCGAATGTGGGACTTTTTCACATGAATATCGCAAAACTTGTCACAATATATAAATGGGTTAATTGGTGATTAGTTAAGGTAGTTAGTGATCAGTTACACACCCATATGATTAGTTATTCTCTGATCTATATAAGCAATTTATTAAGTTTATAGCACATATCTTTTACCAATTTATCAATTTCACCATTTACATTCTCACTTTCTCTCAATTCTAGTCATACCATGTCTCTCAACGTTTCTTGATAAAAGTTGGGGATGGAGTTTGAAAGTATTTCTGTTTATGAGCAACTGCACATATAGAATGTAGTGTACGGAGATCAAGAGGTAGAGATATACGACAGAAAATATGATACACATTCCTCTTTATGACATGAAAACCCTTAAGGCTACTAACTGCAATACCATGGCAAGGGTCAAATTACAATTAAAATAGATGACTCAGTTCACTTCCTCTATCTCATCCAAAGCATAGTTGTTTGTCGATACATTGGCATAGTTAACTTTGTTGAATCGAACCACAACTGGGTAGCGAGTCTGAGGGTCCTGCACAACACAACAAACAGAAATCAATGAAACTAAAGACATGATCCATTGCTGGGAGAAAAAATTAAGGGGAGATGCCTAATGAAAGACAAAAAAAACCAACCAACCTGATCAACAGCAACAACAGAACCAATACCATTGTACCAATATGATTCCTTCCTAAGAATCTTAACCTGGCAAATGCAACCAACAAAACAAATAAAAATTACAACAAGATAAGATTTTGCTAAACTGCTACTTGACTACAAAGTTCAAGTTCCAACTATAAGCTTATATTTATTATTATAGCCATAGATTCAAAATGTAGAAAATTTACATTTGAATAAGCACACATCTAGAAAAGAAGAGAGATGCTAGTACATATACAAACACCAAGGATCAAACCATATGATCAAGTACACTGTCCCCAAATTAAATTGATTATGGTACAAACAATGATTCCAAACTACAAGAGCTGAAAATTTGAGGGTAACACACCTTAGCACCTCTTTTGGGACCAATTGGTGGTGGCTTGGGTTTAGGAGCAGCTTCACCTTCCACTGGAGGTGTGGCTGTTGCGGGTGCCTCCTCAGCTGCCCTCACAATAAGCCTAGAACTGTTGTACTTTGTAGGGTACATCACCATAGTGATCCTTGATGGTGAACTTGTGTTCCCTGAAACATTTGGAGATAACACAAACCGAGAAGCAGCTGATGCCATGTTACAACTAGCCATCACTTCCTCTCTCTTTTTCTCAGTGGTGATCTAAAGTGTGGCAAAAAATTTAATAGTTAAGACAAGACAAGAACAAAGATTGAGAGGCTTTGAATGAACTAAATTTTTTTTGTTTATTTGGGAGAATTATCTAATCTCCAGAACCGTGTATGAATCGTTTCCTCCACTGCTGTGCTGCCACCTATGCACCATATCCAATTCCTTTGGATAATGTTATTACAACTCATCTTTTTCCAAATCACAATGAAGATGCTCACTCGGTGACAATGCTATACTTAGAATTCAAACACCCCCCATAAATATTTATTATTATTATTTCGAAAATATTTCTAAAAAAATGCTGTTTTTCTGTCTTACAGATTTGATGCCATAACTATGAACAAAAGGCCATTTTTAATTTACTGCCATGCTAACTTTTATCCGCTATCGATACATTTTGTACACACACTAATCATTTTTTTTATGTAAAGTATAAGCCTTACATAAAAGTATCAAATTTTTGCAAGGAAAAAAACAAACAAATATTTTTTTAAGTCTCAATACATAATCTATACTATATTACGCACATATTCGTGATTGTGGCTTTTTTTATTTTATTAATTCAACTTTTTTTTGTTTATCAATCTCAATATTTAATTCAGTAATAAACGATCAAGTGATGTTCGAATTAATAAGCACACATTTACAAGTTGAAATTTTAATTATATCAACTATTTAGAAAATTACAAGAAATATTTTAATCAATCTCTTAACTATGATGTAAATGATTTGCTTTTCGCCAAACAAAAGAGATAAATTATTCTATACATTGACCACAATTTTTTTTAATAAAAAAAGAAACTTTTCATTTTATCTTCTATACAAAATATATAACTTATGCAATAGATAAGAGAATATAAGACGTTGGATTGGGCTTATCGATTGATTATTCCTTTTATAAATGGGCTTGTTGCCTGCCACAACTAGCCCTTGGGCCAAGGCAAAACGAAAGCATAAGCAGTTCGTCTTTGTCTCAGGCCATTTGATTTTTATTTATTTTTTAAAAAAAGGTTATTGAGTAACCGAAATTGGGGGTGATGCCAAATTAAAATTAAAATAGACTACAAACCGAAAATTAAGACCTTGCTGAAGAAAAGGGTCGGAGTACCCTATGCTTTCATATTTTCGAGTAAAATTGATTTTTATATTATAATAATAATATATAATAATGAAAAATATAAAATAAAATCATATTGAATGAGAGAGTATTTGAAGTTTAGGGGCACGATAATATTCTCCTTTAAAAATTATCTTTTAGATTAAGTTGGCTAATTTTGACGGTTGGTCCAACCCAAGATTTTAGAAGCTTAGGTTAGCTGGAGTGGAGCAATGATTTGAAGGAAGGCGTTACATCATTTACATCCAAGTATCCAACTGCCAACCGAATTGATTGAGCTAGTAAATATCGAGAAAAAAAATTTGAAAGGTTTTTCAATTTTTTTTTTTTTTTTGATAACAAGGTTTTTCAATTTTTGTTCCAACTGAAAGTCGTAGTATATCTCACATTAAAAATATTTACTTTTCCTATAAAAAAAATTAACTTAAAAAACGTTCACATTTAATAGGGGTGTTCATCAACCAATCCAAACCGCGGTGACCGAACCGAAAAATCGATAACCGAATAAACCGAAAACTGAAAAAACCGAAAACCGAAAAAAACTCGCAAATTTTAATTGGATTAGATCAGTTTTTGGATGGGTTGATGAAAATCGATCCAATATATTAATTCTCCTCTATCTACTTGGGTCTTTCCCTAATCGTAGTCCAAAAATTTCTAAACCCAAGATCCATTAACCCATCAATTAAACCCAAGAAAAAATTTAGCCACATCTCATCAACAAAATTTTATCTTTGTAGAGCTTCATATCTCATTGCCCAAAAAAAAACTATATTATAGTTTACTAATGCTTTTGTATTTTGAAAAAAAAAATTACATAGCCAATATGTACAAAAAATGTTATTTGCACAATAATTATGAAATAAATTTTAGGATTTTCAAAAAATCGAAAACCGATCCAATCCAAACCGAAAAAAATTGGATTGGATCGGATCGGATTTGAAAAAAAATCAAACCGAATGGATGATTATATGATCAAACCGAAGTGATTGGATCGGATAATTTTTGCTTTCAAAACCGATCCAATCTAGACCGCGAACACCTGTAACATTTAACTTGCAAGAGATTTTTTTTTTTTACCGCATGACCTCTATTTATTTATTCTTCTACTTATTATCAAATCAAGTCACTAGAGCCAAGTTTGGTAGGCTCGAATAGTCGAATCTATGCTCCCCCCACCAAATCTATGACATTGGTTTCTCACTTTAATTGTTACCCTTGCACGGCCATTATAAAGAGTTAATTCCTGGACATTAATGATATTGGCTTCAATTTTATTCCACTGGGACAGCAATGACATTGGCTTTCATTCAGCTGCATTTATTTATAATCAACCCAAATAATTTAGAGTATTGAGTTGTTCATCCAAAACATTTAAGGCTCGTATCTAACTTCGATTGGGAAAAAAAGAAAGAAGAAGAACCCAATTATTTTTATTTTACTCTTTTATTTTTAATAAAAACTAGAATCTAATAGTATAATGACAATTGGTGTTATTTACTTGAAACTTGTATAAATTGTCTTAAAATAAATTCAAATGAAATTTGAAGGTAATATATTTTTAGATGACAACTTTTCCTTTGTTTATAATGTATTGAATAATCTTACCAAAAACATAATTATTTCAATAATAACTGTATTTAACTTAAAATTTTAAAACATCAAATCATGTCCTTATACTGTTGTTAAAATCGAGATCTCAAGTAAAATCGGAAGGAGATTAAAAAATCGTAATGTAAAAAAATAGTAAAAAATCATAAAAACGTGAAAGCGTTTGAAATATTAGTAAAATAATTTTGATGAAAAAAAAATCGTAAAAACGAAAAATCGTAGTGATAAATCGAGATTTTAACAACAATATATTTATTATAAAAATATTTTTTTGAAACATTTTGTGATCATGATGACTATTTTTATGCCCTCCCCTTGGATTTGGTTCAAATAGATCATCAATCTTAATTAATATTTGGTTACCGCTCGTCAGTCATAAAAAATTAGTTTAAAACAAAGTGTAAATAAAAAAGAAAACAAAAAGTGATTATTACCGTTTATGTATCATAATTAACTTCGTTTGTCATTATTACTTCTTTTTCACTATAAGACACTACATCTGTTTGCCACCAAGTCTAATATAGTATATGCTTTTAAAATCAAACTATTTTTTTTTTTATATATTTCTAAAACGTCAATATCTCTATCATGATATCTTCACCCACCCACCCAACTTTTCTCTTTTAGCTGAGGCTACTGTTATTTTTCCATCAGTTGTTGCTAAAACTTAATGATGAACAAACGTTGTTGGAAGAGTGACTATTGTGAATACTCTTTATACTGTCAATGATTTACTTTATTTATTTCCTCATTTCATTTCATTTCTTTTCATTTTCCCACTTTTTATGTGGATATTTATGATTTCCCTTTTCTGAGAATTTTTAATGAGACAGGGAAAGGTAGAGGAAGCTTTCAAGGTATTGGCTATGAAAGACGAAAATGGCGTCAGAGCCTTAAAAAAGTTCTAGAGAAGATCATGAGATTTGGACGAGTGAAGCCATGAATGGGGTGATTGTAAGAGTGAGCCCAAATGAAAGTGGTTAGGTTTGTGCCAAAAAAAAAAAAAAAAGTGGTTAGGTAGAATAGTAAACATTCCACTATTCGCTTACCGAAAAAAAAAAAATTTCCAATATTCCTTTGCCAAAAATTCTGAAAGATTTTGCTGAAATTATCTCCTAAGTTTACCAACATTCTCCACACATGAAGTTCTTACTAAGATTGGCTTTAAACGAGAGAGAATAGCTTTTTACATGCGGAAGCTTAATAGTGTTAACTTTTGGACCAAACATTTATTTCCCTACGTTAAGCCAAACTACAACTTGAATACAATTTCATCGAAAACAAAATAAAAGGATTAAAATATTGGTTATAATAAATAAGTCGTTGTTAGTAATAAAATAAATAAGGGGGTCGCTCTCAATTTACATTATTTTTAGTAATATAATAAGGCCAAGTTAAATTTATTAAATCGAAATTGTGGTGAACGTAGCTCATGATATATATGGAACATGAAAAAGTGGAGATTTTGTTATAAAAAAAAAAAAAAATTGGAGATTTTCGCCTTAATTGTTTGTTTTTTGAACACGGAGACAATCATACTTAGATCCTGTTTCGATGAGTTTTTTTTCTTCAAAAGCTGCTTTTTTAAAATAAAAAAAAGCACTTCTCCAAAAAAGTCTGTTTGAATGCTTGCTTCTAAAAAAAGCAGAAGTCATAAAAAAAATCAAAAATTTACTTTTTTCGGAAACTAAAATTTTTAACTTTTAAAAAAAGCAGAAATCAAAAGTCAAATATGTTTTAAAAAATTTAAATAACTATAACTTTTATAAAAAGTACTTTAAAATAAAAAAAAATGATAAAAAAAACTTTCTTAAGAAGGTAATACAAAAGAGCCCTTATTCGCAAATCATGCAGTATAAGTGACATTTAGATTTAGTTTAGGTTTGGTATTCTATTTAAAGTGTCATTTTCAGTTGCATGTGCACCTTGTACGTCACTCATTGACAGACATAAGAAAGCGACGTGTATTGTGGCCCATTCAAGATTTTCTCCCGGATTAACGGCAGCCTTATGGTACATTTTTATTTGTTTTCGATCACCTATTAAATCTTAATATCAATATTGTTAAAATCGAGATTTTAATAAAATTAGAAGAGGATTAAAAAAGCGTAAAACATAAAATTATAATGTAAAAAAATTATAAAATTGTTTGGAATATTAGTAAGATTATTTTGATGAAAAAGATCATAAAAACATAAAATTATAATAATAAATAGAGATTTTAATAACAATACTTAAGACATTTCAGATGAGATTTTTTTTTTTTTTTTTTTTTTGAATCATGATTCTTAAGAATATATTAAGAAAGTAAATTTTTCAATA